GAACCCTTAAAGCAACCCTGAAAACCATAGCACGCACTTTCAGAAGTCAGAAGCCCCCTCCCCGACGAGGCCGACCCCTTTACACACCCCGCGCTCGCCTTCGGAGCTGCCGCAGTCGCCGCATGGAGCGCGGGGCTCGGGGCATCCTGCGGAGCCTTCTCTTAGGGTTTAGGGTTTAGGGTTTAGGGTTTAGGGTTCGCAGGGGTTGGAGGGTTGAGGGTTTAAAGTCCAAGGTTGAAAGTTGGTGTACAAGTTAAGGTTGAATGTAGCGCCACTTTTTTTGTCGAAGTCGCATGTGTGGCCTTGGTGTCTTACCCAGAGAGTTGGAAAAGGCTGAACTCTTTAAAACTTCATGAGTTGGAAAAGTCAATACCATGCATTTGTAGAGCCATGGTGTTGGGAATCTTTTTGCGAGGGATTTTGGTGGGTTGGTGGGTTCCAATGCAGTGCTCGACTGGAAGTCCGTCGCTGGAGCTGTCGGAATGATCTGTTTCCCACCCGCTCTTGAAGGTTTTCCTCTCGCAACCGGCGTCAATTGTCGTGATCTTAGCCCACGGTCGCAGACGAGTTGGCTTGTGGACTGGGTCCGGTTTGCCCTTCTGCTCAGACTGGATACTTGTTTACAGATGCCCATATATAGCGCTGTGACCACCAAGAATCGAGACACGGTGACTCAATTTAGGCCATCTGAAAATAAGGGAGACTCTCGAGTTCTTGAGGATGAGCCTCTGCTTCTGCTGGACGAAGATCGGGTGCAGGCAGCTTCAGACGTTGTGTTCTGGAAGCCACGCGCGAGGAGTGTCAAACGGCAGAAGCCATGTACTTAGTGCGGCTTCTGCGTACAGAAGGGCCCTTAGGTTGCCTTCCCGGAAAGCCATCGGAAGCCCATGCGAGTCATGCGAGCCTGCAGGAGCGGCATGAAGCAGAGAGAGTAGCCCTTCATGAGGAGCCGAGAGGGTCGTTCTGTGGGCCCCTTTGCTGGCCCTTAGGTAGCTGCGCAGTAGCACTGGGTAGGGTAAAACCCAGTTACTCGTAGCAAGTCTGAAGCCCAACCGAGCTAGCTCGCTGCCGAAGTCTACCTCACTTCCGTGAAACATTATTCTTCGACGCTGTGACCTGCTTGATACTCCTTTTGATCCTTCAGGGAACTCCTTTCCCCCCTTAGCAGAGGTGCAAGCGGCAGCAGGTTGTCCCCTTGGGGCGAAACTGCTGGAATCATGTCACATATGTTGCGGCATGCTAAGACCAGGAGTTCAACTGCCACCTTGCTCCTGTTCCCCTCGTTCTCGATGTTGTTGTCGCTCTTGTTCTTCATCTCTATGTTCCTCACGTTTATATGGCCGTCATGCATCTTTGTACCCTGTCACAAACGCGATGGCTGACCTTGTCTAAGAGCATAGGAGACGTTTCAGCAGAGCCTTCTAAAGCTAAATCCCAGAGCCCTAGCCTGCAAGACAAGACGCTCTTCAAGTTCCCAAGAACAGCCAAGCGCCAGGAGCTCGAGGAAGCAAGGCGGACTGGAAAGGCACGGGGTAACTCAAAAGACAAGGGCCGATACAGGCCCTCATGTAGAACCCTCAGTAGAAGTGCTCACAGGATGCGTAATGTAAAGCCCCTGAGCGGTGAGACCACGGATGCCGACAGTACTGGCGGCCTTAGGAACCAAGGAGGCTAGCAATGCGTAACCATCTCCAATGTCAACAGCCGCACCACGAGCATAACTCGAAATGGGGAGTTCTCTAGAGTTAAAGATACCGGCACTGCAAAGTTTCTCCCGAGATTCTCAAGCTGCCTTGGCCTGGGATGTTGGCACATCTTGGAGATCTGGATAGATTTGGAGTTCGTTTTGGTTTTGAGTCCCGATGCCAGGGTTTCAAGCATTGCGGGTGAGGAGCACACCCTTCAGATTTGCCATGGCATTTGTAAGTTCTCCTGCAAAGAAGCTAGGTGTTTGGAGCTCGCTGCGCAGGCTTTTGACCCAGCCTCCATCATGTCGCTAGCAGCACCTGTCTGCATCCATCGGGTGCCCAGCAGTCCGGCCGAAAGGGCTCGCAACTTTGGAGCCAACCCTAAGTGTAAATTAAGCCCCCAACACTAAACCCAAAACTCTAAACCCCTAACCCTCAACCCTAAACGGCTTGGAGTTCTTCGGGCATCAGGCGGACCGGGCAGCAGCGGATGCCATGTCGGACAAGGTGGAGGCAGATTTGCTTCTGGGGAGCATGCGGGCCAGGTCCGTTTTGCACGAAAGACATGAATAAAAAGTAATATAATTACGTAAAAATTACGTATTGACATGTGACATATTGTTTCATAATCACGTCTTGTATATCAAGGACCACCAAGTGCCAGGTATCCATTCGAGTTTGCAATTCAGCTGGGCTGTCTGGGCAGGAACTTCAACGAGAACGTGAAGACACGTGTCGGGAGAAACACAGGCTGGGAGGAGGGCGATCGAACTTGGCGGGTTGTCAGGGCTGGATCGGCTAGCCTTCTCATGTTCAAACTCCTTCCTTGCTGGGCAAACCAACGCTCCAAATTGTAACTGCCAGGCTTGAGAAGGAGAACGAGGCCGTGATTCCTTCTGACCACTGTCACGATGTGTCGCACTGCGAGATACCGTTCGGCTTTCCTGATCGAGTCGTCTCCGTGAGGGCTTTCAGGTCGAGATGTCGATATCCGACGATCGGGATGGAAGTATTTGTCACTCGCGTCTTTGGTCGGACGGTGCTGGGAGGAACTGGTGTATAGGCAAGCTGTCTAGGCTTCTTGATTTCTCCAACTCTCCGGCCTTGTCTCTCAGCTACAGCGACACCGCCTGGGCATGCCAGGTCCTTCGTCTCCAGCTGCAAGACCACCATGGCATTATGGCTGCCCCGGCATGATCACGCTGCATGTTGCGGAGCCGTGGTTGGGTCGAAATCGTCTTGGTATCGTCGGGAGATCTGGCAAAGCCCAAAAGTCTTCATTCAAGACTTGCGTTTTGAATTGCTGAAAGCCGCTGGAAGCACCCATGACAAGGCAGCAGAATGGGGGCAGACGCTGCAGTTCCAAGAGAGGTGCTGCACCAGATCTGGGATTTGAGGGTTGCAGGCAGTTGACAGTAGCGTACCAAACTCACAGCAGACAGTGCAACGCGACTTCCGATCGCTATCTTGGGTTTTTAAAACGCAAAATTGCTGTTACTGTCCCCATCACGAAGCTGGTGACCGATGATATCACCGTTGCTTTTCTTTTGTCGAAACTCTACCGCTCACCACTCTGATTGTCCATACTAGTACTCGACCCTGAAACCCGTCTTGGTGCCGGTGGCTCTTCTCCTCCACCCCTGCTGCTGCCACCGCTGCCATAATATCAGATTGATTGCGGTTGCCATTGGTGTCATCATAAGTCTTTGGCATGATTTTGGTACTAGCCAGCGATGCTTAGTGATGTGTCTCATCGTCACTATGGTTCGTTCCTTTCATGAACCGTTGTAGTTGCATCATTCCCTGTTGGTTCGTTAGATGTCAAGATTTTGGACCATTGCTGTTCTCGTTCCTGTTGCTCGTATCAGGGACAGAATGCGTGACCTTTTCAGCAGCGCATGTTTGCTGTTCTGGTTGTTTTTGCTATTCCGCACTGGTATGTTTTGTGACCGTGGTGTTTGCTGGTTTCATGTGTGCGAAGTTTCTTTCATCCCACTACATACGCCTCTTGGTTATACTGTTGTAGTTTTCGCGGAAGTGATTTGATTTTCTTGTGATTGCACCCACTATCACGAACATAAGTACCATCGCGAGATGCTGTTTTTGGTTACTATGTTGCCTCTGAAGCTGTCTGCAGGCTTCGTCAGGAAGAAGCAGAAGTCGAGCGGTTGGCCTTCGAGGTGCCCGGTCTTTACCTAGAAGTATGCAGCTTGAGGCTTGTCAGGAGGAAGATGCCTCATGACAGACGTAGTATGTAGTAGCTACGTAGCACGAGCCGTAGCAACTACTTGGAAGAGATGCTATGGGAATGACCCATGCGAATAGCATGATGATATGAATGTCGCTAGATGTATCCCGGCAAGGCAGCGGGTTATGAGTCGCAGCCATGGCAATCACGGCTGCGTTTAATTTCGGAATGAATAGAAGTGCCAGTCTTCGAGTCTCTGAAGGCATAGCAAGTCCTAAACCTAAACCCCTCCCTAAACCCTAAACCCTAAACCCTAAACCCTAAACCCCTGACTATGACCTCTGATCCTCTAGGTAGTCTAAGTAGCCAGGTTGCTGAGCTCCGAGCTGCGCTTGTGCTGCGCGACGAGGCATCTGCTTGCGGGATGCCGGAGGGCTGACGGATTCAACTAATCCCAAACCGAAGCCCAAGCGGTCAAACATCTTACCGTTCCCAGCCACAAGACCCCAAGACCAAATCCAAGACCCAATACTGAGCCCTTCTCCCGTATGTTTCCTTAAACCTTTCCACCAGGAGCTGGGCCACCTTCGCTGGGTCGGGGTCCTGTGAGCTTTAAGAGACTGGGGACACTCTTGGAAATTCAGCTCGGACTCCGGCTGTTCAGGCACGCCCATTACCGTAAATATCACCGCTGGTACCATGACGACGATGGCTACGACTTCTGCTGCCACTGCTGCCACTGCTGCTGCTGCCGCCACTTTTCTGCTGCCGCTGCTGCTCTGACAGCTCGGTATTGCCATCATCATCGTCATCCTCATCGTCATCTTCGTTCTCATCGTCACTCCAATCCTCATCATGGCCATGGTTTTCACCATCCCTATCCCCATCACCATCCTTACCCCCATCACCATCCCTATGCCCATCACCGTCACCATCATCACCGACACGACCTATCCAAGCACCAACTTCGGACCTCCGTTCAAACTGTGGGCCTCACTGAGGATGCGGCGCAATGGAGACTTCTGTCGCGGCACAAGAGTGGGCAGCGGCCTTGTCAGACTGTCAGAGGTTGTAGTGACGGTTACGATGATGAAGCTGCAGTCCAGTTTGCTGCTATCTGTGCCAGCACAACGACATCTCTGCTGACTCAATCTAGCTTTTTTTGCTATTCTCCCTCTCTCTCTCTCTCTTTCTCTCTTTCTTTCTCTCTCTCTCTGTCTCTGTCTGTCTCTCTCTCTCTCTCTCTCTCTCTCTCTCTCCCTCTCTCTTCCGACTATCACCAACGTGGCTTTTGTTTGCGGCTGTGGTGGTGCTTGCGGTGATTCCTGTTGTTGACGTCGTTCTTCTTGTTGCCGCTCTACAGTCCAACGGGCAGGCCAGGCTTCACCTACACAAGTTGATGCCCGAAGTCCAAAGCGCAGCTGAGTGCTTGCATCGAATGCTACAAGGCTCGGGGACATCAGTTCCGATGAGATCGAGCGTATCCTGGAGGTGCGCGAATCGAGACATATAAGCCATAAGCTTTGTGGAATGCTTTCTGTATCATTAGCATCAGGAAAGGTTAGAGGAATCGCAAACTTGGTAGGGTATACACCCAGTTCTCGTGCTGTATTTTGACGTTTCGAATCAATACAACGTGCAGAACTTGCCGGGCCTACGCTGCTGCACGGCTGCCCACGATCAGAACTGGTGCTGATACATCGGAGACATTTGTCGGGTGGCCTGCTCCGTACCTCAAGATTGTGACCGCACCGGATCCACTCCTCAAGCCCTGGACCGCGATGACTTCCGCTCTGGAACCGCTTTTTGAGGAAGCCACCCAAATGCTATTTTAAGTATTCAGCATGCCTAGCAGCTCTTGTTTATGAATATCCCTAAGCCCCAAACCGCCCAAACCCAAATATAATATATGAAAATATATTGTAATATGTTTTAAAATATTATAATATATTTTAATATATTCTAATATAAAGTAATATATTATAATATATTTTAATATAACATGATATAACATCTAACCCTAAACCTGAGATGAGCCTTGGTTTTTCGGAGGAGGCCGGGCCAGGCCTGGCCCAGCTCGAGGCCGAGTCCCGCGCGCCTTGGCAAGTCGGGTCGTGGGGATCCTTTCAGGGAAGGGTTTAGGGTTTGGGGTTTGGGGTTTAGGGTTTAGGGTTTAGGGTTTAGGGTTTAGCGTTTAGGGTTAGGGGTTTAGGGTTTAGCGTTTAGGGTTTGGGTTTAGGGTTTAGGGTTAAGGGGCTACTTATAAAGGGAAATCCTGGGTTTAGGGTTGAGGGGCTACGTATCAAGGGAACTACAAGGTTTAGGGTTTAGAGGCTACTTATAAAGGGAACTACAGGGTTTAGGGTTTAGGGTTTAGTTATGAAGGGAACTACAGGGTTCTATGATAAGGGTATTCTGTAATTTATTATAAGGGTACTAAGGTATCCGAGAGGTGAAAGAGGTCAAGGAAAAGCGTTTAGGCTTGTGTTAATCCTCGAGTGCTTTCAGCTTTTGTTTCTGGGATTAAGATTGCAGAGCGCCATCAGTGCTAAAGCTGTCTAGAGGTGCTTCAGATCCAGGAGCTTAAAGGCAAAGGGTGCAGTGGGCTCATACGAATTCGCCTGGATATTCTCAGCCGTGAGCGCTGCCAGCATGGCCTCTTGGGATGCAAAGCTTGCTGTCTTCTACTGTAAACCCTGAACCCTACTCGAAAAGGCACGTGCTCGAGTTGCCCGCAGCCAGCTACGAGACGAGCCGGGGCCCTGACACTGGAAGTCGGCAGCGGACAAAGTGAGAGGGCCCCTGTAACCCTTTGCGAACATGCACATCAGAGCTCTGCAGACCCCATCTGCATGTTATGAAACCATGAAGCGTATAGTACCCCTTTTATACCCCTTGGTAGTCCCACTTACACTAGTCTGAGGCTGGAGCAGCAGCTGTGTGCCGTGTGCAGAGATGCGAAGAAGGCAGGGTCGGCATTCGGTATCTGGAGGATGTTTGCGGCCTTTGCCGGAGACTCCAGTACGCGGAGCTTGAGCCACCAACTCGTTTCGATCAAGCGTCCGTCCATCTTGGCATGCTAGGGCTGGGGAGGAGTGCTCTTGTAAACGTTGATTTGCGACTGGCCATCGCGCCGCACACCGCCTGGAGATGTCAGGCGGTCCTGTTTCTCCCGTGCCAGCATCTGTGCGTTTGCGAAGGCACGCTGCTGCCCATGCAGGGGTTTTTCCAATAAATGAGGCAGTGCATGAAGGCGTCCGGCGATGAATGTTTTCATAGCAGGATGCTCGGAATCTGACACGGTTAAGGGTTTAGGGTTTAGGGTTTCGGGTTTAGGGTTATTGATTTCACCGGGGAGGCCCATGGACGTGCACGACAGGCTTTCAACACGCCCAGCCGGCCAAGTCCAAGAGCCATCTCAACCTTCCCACTGCCAAGTTAACATAGAGCCACAACTCTTCAACCACCCGAAAGACCAGGGTGCCGGCAAAGACTTCGACCTTATCGATGCCCGATGTGCCAGGCCCATCGAAAGTGTGCTGCATGATGAGAGCCGGCTTCGGATTTCTGGGTTCGGTCTCGGTGATTCTAGACCCAGTTCGACTGGTCCGATCTGGAAAGAGTGGAAAGAGCGACTTCAGTGCGAGTTACTTCGTGACCCGGCCCTCGAAGCTTTGGGTCTGAATAAGTAGGAACAATATCCCGCAACGTCCCCTTGAAGCCCCTGTAGCCCTCACATACAAGTGCTTGAACTTGTACCTTCTACCATCATCTATATACCCTCTTGCCCTGTTCGAATTACTAAGGTCCCTGTTCTATGCCATACATGGACGCAGGATGGC